CACTGGCGAAAGCTTGTGCAAAGGGCCAGAACATAAACTACTTAAGGAAACTCAGTAACCATGTAAAAAGGCTGGAAGGGTCAGATCAGACAAATTAAAGAGAGGTGGAGATGCAGGCCCAGGCTGGCTGTTCCCCACCGAGGGCCACCTAGGCAGGCACAGGAGATCTGTGTTCATATTCCTGCTGTGGAATTTGACTTGAAATTCCTTCTGTGCCAATGTCTGGAAGTGTCACTGCTCTTTTTCTGGCTGAACTCAGTGTGTGTGTGGCAGTAAGGRGATGGAGGGGTCGGTGGTCTGGTGGTTCCTTTCAAGAGTGTCAAATCAAACATCTCTGGTGTGTGAGACCATGGGTGCTCACCGAGTTCATGGTGCTCCCTACTTCCCTGGGGAGTTTTGAGCTTCATCCTTTCCTCTGTGCAAACAAACGTGGCTGACTGGGTGAATTCAGCTGGCTTCTTCCAGATTTGCTCAGGGATTGCTCTGAATTTGTCCTGGAGGAAGGAGTGTGCTGAGCAAAGCTGGTCTCAGCTTGCTTTGACAGACAAAATGTTTTCCCCACRGGACCTGCTGGAGCTGTGTGTCACTGATGTTTTCAGGGCAGTGTCCCCAAACCGTGTCTGGGGTGGGGCAGGGGCTGCTCTGAGCTGKWTGGTCCTTTTTCATCCTTTGACCTYGGATCCTTTGCAGGTTCTTTRCACTGAGCTAAGGATGGRTGAAAGGAAAGTGAGGCTGGGAGGAGGGCAGTGTGTTGTTTGGAGGCTGAGCAGGTTGAAGCACAAGCTGCAGGTGTGATTCTCSTGTCTCCAAGCCTGACTCTTCCCTACACCCCATTGCACTGCAAGGCTGAGGTTTCTTGTAATAGCAAAATATGCTCTTGAAAAAAACTGGCTGCAAAGATTTTGTTTGTTTAAACAAAGGCTTTGTGATTCCAGAATTCTCTCCCCTTTCATATGCTATAAGCCGCCTCCCCCACCTCCCCTCTGAAACACAAATCTTGGAGCAATCCATCAAGAAAAAGAGACAGAGCCTTGATCCCTTGACTTCAGTTGAGCTGTGCAATTTATATCTACTGAGCATCTGGCTGAAGGGAAACTAAAAGCTCTTTTAATATTCTGCAGAGACTCTGGGTGTACAAATGAGTGTGAGCTGTCAGAGCTGAGAAATGGGGCAGAGGTGCCAGGAGCTTTCTTTGCCATTTCACACAAAACTGACCTGCAGCCCTGTGGTGAAAGCTGGGCTGGCTCTTTCTTTACTGCCCACAGTGGCACTGGGATAACTGTGCTGAAATCATTAGAGCCCTGTTGGTGTCAGGCTGTTATCACACCTTTCTGGTTACGATTTGAGTGAGGAGTTTGAAGATTTGTGGGGCTTGAAATTATGAAAAGCAGGAGTGCCAGGTTAACCAGGTACCTGAAGCCATCATTCACTGCTGCAGGGCATCACTCCCAGGGGTGTGCCCAAAGTGGAGGTTCAGGCACAGTCTGATACCTGTTGGCAGTGCTGGTGGCTCAGCCTTTAGCCAAGGATGGGCTGAACCCAACCTTTGTGTCAGGGTTGAGGGGGTCCCAGCTGGCACAGGGTGTCTGGCTTGTTATTTTCCACATCTCCTCTGCATGGGAATTTTCCATCCATCCAGTTGCATTCCAGCTGAGAATGGGAATGGGAAGGGAGAAATGTGCTGGGACAGGAACAGCGAGACAGCACGGAGACAGACTGGGTGTCAGGGATGTGCTGGTACCGTCTCATGTTCGTTATCTCAATTATTTATCCTCCCTGCTGGAGTATTTCTAAAACAAATCCTACCATGTGTTTTGAGGTTGGGATTCACAGAGTGAAATCACAACTCCTTTCTCAGATTTTAGCTGGAAAAGTACAAATCTGCCAACTAGGAATAGAAGGGAAATAAGCTGTGGCTCTGTGTACAACAAGTGATGGATTTGTGCAGATATGGAGAGCGTCTGCTCTGCAGTCCCAGGTCACAGAGTTGTGTGCATTTGCCCCAGTATTGTATTTGTTCCATGAGAAATGATGATGTGAGATTCTCAAGCTCTTTTTAATAACACAGATTGCTTTCACCCTGATCAGAAAATTCAGCCTCACAGTCCCAGCCAGGCCTTGGAGCCGCCAGCCATCAAGATTAGGCACTAAATACTTCAGTGCATCATAGCCAGGGAAGATATTTATTAGTTTGATTGGTCACCAGCATCCTCAGGCTTCCTGCAAGGACAGATGTGGACCCCAGACCATAAACAGCCCCTGGTGGGTTGTGAGGGAGCTTTGAATGGAGAGTCTGACACTGCAGCCCTGAGCATTCCTCTCTGCCTTGGAAAGCCCTGTCTGGTGCTGCTCAGATAAATAAATGTCACATGGATTTGCTGGCACGACTCTTGACTTAGCAAGATCTTTTGCATTAGGATATCCACTTTCTGGATTATTTAAGTGTCTTTTGGGTCCAGGCTAAGTGCCTTGGGTGTGGATCTGGGTTTCCAGGCATTTCCAGGATCAGAGATCAAACCCAGCTTGAACTGAAGTAGTTCTCTCTGACCCAGGCTGTGCTCTCTGYGTGTTTCAGCATCACTCACACGAAGATCAGATCAGTACAAACCTCACATGCAGTGACACTGCTGGCTTCTCTCCTCTTCTGGCACTTTGTCCATTGAAAWCAAACCTTTTCAGCTGCAAATGCACCTGAGAGGGCTCTTTGGGGCACTCTTCAAGAGCGGAGAGAGCTGCTGGAGCGGTGCTGTCCCTGCATCCTGCCCAGCAGAGATGAGCAGTGTCCTTCCCCTGGGGAGCTGATTGACTCCCCCCTATGCAGAGAGGGGTATGAGCCCTTTTATTATGAGCTGAACTTTCCAAAGGGACCTAAACTGGTCAGTCCACCTTCTCAGAGATGCCCAGAGATGGATTTTAGACAGTTCAAGTCCATCTCTCTAAATCTATGGGATTTACTGAGATGTGCAAACCAGCAGAAGGGAGAATGGAACTATGTGTTTTATTTGCTCTGTAACACATCTGGTACAACTTTTGGCTCATGGGAGTATTGGATTTATTCAGCCTTATMTTTCTGTGGGGATGAGCAAGATCAGGAGCCTGAGGCCAGTTACACAGAGACACCAATTCCCTGTTTTACACAGCACAAGCAGATCCAGACCAAACAAGCCTCACCCACCTCCTTCCCCGTGGGACAGTGCACTTAAGGCACTTGCATTTTCATGGGTTGATTCGAGCCAAAAAGTATTGCCCAAGATCTGCTGCAGAGAATAAAAACAAACAAAAGTTATTTTCTGTTGGGTAAAAGAAAATCCATGTCAGTAGTGGCCTGTGAGGAAATCCCTCCATCTGAGTGTTCCTGACACATCAGATGCTTTGTCTGCAAAATGCTGTGTGTGATGAGGTGGGAGATCTCWGTCTGGCTCCTCTGGGAAGCTGCACAGCTCCTCACAGAGGGCCAGGGTGAGAATTCCTTTGGAAAGGGGATGCAGTGGGTTTTTGCTAGCACTCAAACAATCCTTTTAGCCTGTAAATCAGCAGGGTGGAACAGCCCAGCTTTCTGTCCTTCCGAGTTGTGCTCTCAAACCTCTGTGTGGCTGAGAGCCATCAGGTCATGCCACCTGCTCAGAAAGCCAGCAAGGGTCTGGGGCTGGAGAGGTCCCTTGGGTGCAACAGGGGACAAAGCCTGTTATGGGGCAGCTGACCCAAGTGCTGGGGTGATGTTTGCTCAGGCCAAAATCCAAAATCCCTTTTGGAGGAAGGGGTGAATCCATGTTCACCCCTTCCTCACCAGAGGAACCCTTCACTCTGGGTTTGCTCAGCATCCCCTGCACCATCACAGCCTCAGCTGCACCAAGAACTGCAGATCAGCATTCCCAGCCCCGTAGAAACTCCAGAAGGAAATCCTTTCTCCATGGCCAGGAATGAAAATGGGCTCTGACCCTGAAGGAGCACAAAATGCACAGAGAGATGTGTTTCTCCTCTGTGGGATGTGAGATGGGATTCATCACCTGAATGAGGATGGTTTATGCCCTGGAACACTTCATGCTGCAAGTCATACTCCCTTTTTGAGAGCTGCTGTGCTTCAGGAGTGGTCCAGCCTGGAAAGCTTTTCTGAGAGCTGGAACAGGCAGTTCCCTTCTGCTGCAGAGCACTGGGAAAGCTCCTGGTTGATGAAATCTCTGCTCAGGGCTTTATCCTGCTTCACTCAYTTCAGAATTGCTGAGATGAGACCAGAGGCAAAGCAGCAAGCCTCCTGTTTGGATCAGGGATGCCCTTTGGATGGGATGGAGCCATCACTTTAACCTGCACTCAGAGCTCCTTTCTGGTAGTGTTTGTTCTCAYTCAGGCCCCCTGTCAGGGCTCCTTTGGTGGCTGCTGGCTGTCTGCTGCTCCTCTGCAGCAGAATGAGATGGAAATCAATTCATGCTGCAGCTTTGGGCTGTATCAGCCCTCAGATCTGCCTTGGGTTTCCTGGCTGTCACTGGGATGGATGCTCAGTCTCATCAATCTGGGAGTGGGAACAGGGCCTGGGAGCCCAGGGATGGAGCAGGACCCCACAGAAATGGGCATTCTGTGTGTTCACTGCTTTCCTTGGTATTTGAGCAGGGAAGCAATGCAGGAGAGGGTGTTAAATGAGACCTGGGAGAGGGGAGCACGTGCCACAGCAGCTGGCACCATGAGCAGGACAAGTGTCCCTGCCTAGACAGCAGCTTATCCTGGTTGGCACCAAAAGCCTTAAAACTGATTTTTATTTCATCTGCCCTCTACACATTGGGAACTTAATTCCACACTCTGCCCCACTAAACATCCCCAAACAAGGCTCATGTTATGTGGCTGTAATGGGTGACCTGTGCAGTGGGTTTGAATATTTATTTTGCCCCATAACTGATCTTGGCTCACTTTTCCACGTGCCCTGGGTCCAGGATGGGGATGGAGCCCTGGGTTAGCATGCAGAGTGCCTGGCAGGGCAGTGTGACACCGCTGTGTTTTGTTCTCTCCAGAATGCATGAACTGCACCAGGCTGGCRGACATGAGCGAGAGGCTGAACACGCTGGAGGCCAAGGTAAGCACWGCCTTTGTTCTTCTGCTTGGCRAAAATTCCCYAGAGTYKCTGKTGAAAAACCTGTCGATTTGGCAGCYCTGGAGAGATAAGGAGTCTGTTCCTCTGCCCCAGGAATGAGGCAGCACCGCTGTCCACACGGGCATTGCCAGCCCCTGGCCCTGCTCCTTCCCTTCCTCTCCCCGTGTGCTGCATCCCTGCCTCAGCCCAGCTCCTCCAAAATAATGCTCAGACCTCAGAAATAACGTGCCCCATGTTCTCACCACGTTTAATTATCCCTGTGTGCCTGTCCCACCTGCCCCTCCTGCCCTGCCTTGTCTCTTCATGTTTTTCCTTTTCCCTTTCCATCCCTCTCCTGAGAATGGCAGGAACTCGTGCATGGTTTAGTGGAGACAAATATTAGGGGGAGACCTTCACTTTGTGGAGTTGGGTTTTTTTTTCCCTACAAATCGTTTTAATTTCTACCTACTGGGATTCAGATAAATTGTTCCAGCCCAGCAGCAAAGCAGCTGAGTCAGCACTCCCCTTTGATCTGTGGTCCCTCCTGTGACAGCCACTCCTGGCTGTTACTTATCATGCTTTGGTCCCTTTAAGGCATTTCCTGCTGTTATTATTCACTAACTGATGCTTATCAATGACATTAAAGAATTTAGGGAGAAACCTTAGCGGAGGGAGGTGGTGCTTGTGTGGTGTTTTTGAGGCCAGTACATGATATTRTGGTAATTTGGGAATTGTTTGTGCTGAAATGAAGTCTCCTCAAAGCATTCTCAGTTGTATTTCACTGCAGGAAAGTGAAGGGGTGGGGGGAATGAAATTCTGGGGAGCAGAATTGTTTGAGTGGAAGGAGCTGGTGTAGGACAAAGGACAGGAAGCAGCTGGATTGTCCAAGCAGCAGGAGCTGGCAGGTGGTGACCTCTGGCCAGGCAGGGGAGAGGGGCTGGTGAGTGACCTCTGCAATCCCAAATTCAAGTGAGACATGGCCTGGCCTCAAAGAGACGTGAATCAGCCCTTCCCTCCTGGGCTGGGGCCAGCTGCACCTTTCTTCGCTTTCCAGGATTCTCTGTCTGGCTCRGTGCAAAAGGACAAGCAGAGGCTGTCCTGACATCACTCCACACTCTGCTCAGCACTCGTGTGGGTAACAGCGCGTCCAGGCTGGGTCCTGGCAGGGTGCTGGAGAGGGGGAAGGAGGCTCCACCTGCCCAGACCCCCTCGGGAAGCCTCAGGCAGTGTCTCGTGTCTCTGATTTAGTGCTGCACTCAGGCACTTTGTGCTGAGTTTCCTTCTGACTTCCCTCTGCTCCCACACGGATCCAAGCTGGGAGCAAGGCTCATCAAAGGGGTTTGCTTTTACAGAGGGAAATGAGTTATTGCYTTCCTTTTTGAAGTGTTGAAGACCTCTCCTCTCTGCAAGGAGACCTTCTGCAGCACGGCCCAGCAAGGTCCTTATCAACCTTTTGGCTTCCCCTTTGTTTGAAAAGCTGGGGATGCTGTGCAAGAATTGACTGTGGCAATGAAACRGAGAGTGAAGCAACAGCCCATGGCTGCTGCTGCTGTACACAAGAGAAATGTGCTGATTCCCCCTTTTTTCAAGGTTAATTTAAGTTCAGTTTGATCTATGTRGCAATCTAATGAACTCAGTTGTTATTATTCAACAATAGCCAGCATCATTAAGAAGGTGCTCGCTTTAGTTTGGTGTTGCCTGCATTCCTGCTGCGGATTTTGGAGGAAGATCCCTGTTTTGCTGGATGATCTGGACCTGGAGTTACCTCTCAGCTCTCCAAACTGCCTTGTAGTGTGTAATTTCACCACAACAACCTGAAGCTGTTTTGAGGAGGAAAGGAGCCATGGGATGGGCACACACATCTCTGCCAGTGCCAGAGGCTGTTTCCCCCTGGATTTTTGCAGGAATTTCACCCTCCCCATGAGCAGGGCTGGATTTTCTTGCTCCCTCTGGCAAGAGCTGAAGTTGAGGGGCACTGCTGGTTTTGCTCTTTTGAATTTCAGCCCAGAATGACCAAGGTGAGCTCAGGGGATTGGCAAGAACAGCCTGGGGTTCCTTCTTCCCCCATTCCTCCTCAGCTTTCAYAGCAGCCCCCCTGAAAATGAGGATAAAACCAGAAATGGTCTCATCTTTCTTATTACAGGGGTGAGCTGGTTCATCCAAACTTAAGATCAGTGCCCAGATGAGGTAATAAAAGTAACCCTACAATTTTTAGTAATATGAGAGCTGGATCACAAGGTGAGAAGCGAGAATAAACACAGAGCAATCGGAATGAAAAATGACTCATTAAGGACCGGTGTTTTTATTGCCCTTGGGAGGAGAGAGGCTGAGCTGGGGAAGCAGAACCAACTCTTCACGTGCCTCGTGCCTTCCCTAGTGCTGCTCTAGGACGTTCCTGTGGATGTTTCTGCAGGGAGGGAGGTGAGGGCAGATGGAATCAGGTTCCAGCCTCATCTCCTATTTCCAGCTTCCACATTAACTCTCCAGGACAGACCTGGCTTTTCCCCTGTGCTCGACACCAGACCCACTGAGTGCCAGAGATCTGAGAGGTTGATTGATGCTGCTGAGCTTGAAATCTGCACAGCACGGGATCTATGTCAGGGAGGATGGTGTTGGCCACCCTGGGGTCCAGGACCAGAAATTGTGTGGGCTGGAAGAAAACTGCCCCCTCCCCAAGCCCCAGCATGCCAACCCTCAATTCTCTCCTAGGACATCTCAGTTTACACCCCACAGCACCCCCTGACCCCACAGGAGCCTYGTTGGTGGCAGGGCAGAACAAACCCTGCTTTTATTTCATAGGAAAGGTTTCACTTAAACCAGCGCAGCCTCTCAGTGGGAAATGTGTTCAGCCCTTCCTGAATGTCCTGAGCCTGGTGCTGCCCGCCTGTGTCACAGGACTGAGCCCAGACAAAACTCCTGAGTGGCACCACTACCCATGGCAGGAAGGGCTGGCAGCGCTGGCAGGGATGAAGGCAGGGATGCAGGGATGCAGTCAGGGATACAGGGGTGCAGACAGGGCAGGCAGGATTGGCAGGGGTGCAGGGATGAAGGCAGGGGTGCAGGCAGAGATGGCAGGGATGGCTGGGATGCAAGCAGGGCTGGCAGACATGCAGGGATGCAGGCAGGGCTGAGAGGGATGCAGGGATGCAGGCAGGGCTGGCAGACATGCAGGGATGCAGGCAGGGATGCAGGAAAGGCTGAGAGGGATGCAGGGATGCAGGCAGGGATGCAGGCAGAGATGAAGGCAGGGATGCAGGGATGCAGGCAGGGATGCAGGCAGGGCTGGCAGCATTGCAGACAGCCACACACAGATTTCTGCTCATTTTTTTTTCACCCAGTTTCTGTTCATAAGTTCCCCTGCAGAGCTCGGGCAGCACAGCATTAACCCCAGGTTTGGGCTGGAGCTGCAGTGCAGCGCTGGATCCGAGCTGGGAGAGCTCAGCCTTGGCTCCTGACACTGCCCTTGCCGAGCTCGTGGCACTTCACTCCCAGTTCTAATGCCTGGAGAGAGTGATTCATATCCAGGGTCTGATTGATKAATTGTTTGATTGATAAATGACGTGCATAGTTTTTGCATGAAAACARTCCCCGTAATGTGATCCCCCCCACGCAGAAGATTCTGAAAGGTCGTAAAGAAAATCTTGGTATCGTGCACAGAGTTTGATCAATACATTGCTATTTTTCTGATATCAGCCCATTTATTTAGGACAGATTGCCAACAGCACCTTCACTACCCCGTGTTTTGGATGATAAAGGATCATTACTTKGAGTTTTAATGTGATCATTGTACGAAATGTTTCTGGATCTCCTTCTCCTTCCAGGCAGTTACATGAAATACTGGCAGCTGTCTGGGATGTTTTATGGGGCTTCTCTTTTCTTTCTCTGATAGACAATAAAACAATTCCCTGCTGYAGGGGAGAAATATTTGGAAGATAGCAAATGTTTCACGGTGCTGTGGCACGGCTGAGAGATTGGGAGGGGTGCTAGAATTGCTTGGCTGTGAGGCTGCTGCTGGTTCTGCAGGGTGGACGTGAGCAGCTGCTTGATACTTCCAGGATTTCCATGGATTTTCCATGTTCTCTATGTGATAGCCCCTGGCAGTTATTTCCTTTCCTTTCTGAAAAGGAAGGTGTCTTATTAATCCCTAAGATTTCCTCATGGCCYGGTGCAGCAGTACATTGAATTTAAGGAGAATTTGGGATGTTTCACAGGTAGCTATGTAATAACTGGCTGGTTTCTGGTAGCAGTAACAACCTGGAATCAATCCYTGTAAAATTTCTAATTTAACGCTGAGTTTCTGTAGGTCAGTTAATGGCTCAAATGTCCCTAAGAATAAAATGCAACTTCCTGACTGATTCTTACAAGGAGGAACCATGAATCAAAACTGGGTGGGCAAACTGGATTTTGTGTTACTTTGCATCTGTCACTTGTTTTTTTTGCTGATCTGAAATAATCCTGATGATGAGGCTGTTTGGGTACTGACCCTTCTCTCATTTGGGCATCCTGCTRTCTTTCAGAATGRCAGTTAAAATCCTTTCCTTCTCAAGTGTGGTAATTTTTGGACCTTATTTCTTATCACTGTTGGATTGAAGGAGCAATCTGTCCCCTAAGACTGCTCCATGTGTTTGGCCAATGCTGTAAATCGTTTGCCAGAACAACAAAAAGGCTGCAAAGGCCTCCTYGTCCACCATTCCCTCCCACAAAGTCTTTTAGTTACAAGTTTGGCATTTTTAGTCAARTGGATTTAATATTTTCATAAAGTAACCTTGAAAAGTTCTCTTTTCCTGAATGCATCTTAAGTTGCCAAGCAAATTCTCTGTCTACATTAGGAGTTGCTTTTGGTGTGTTTAATACCTGGGAACATGGCTTACAAGCTTTGTTTTTTTTTAAAGAGGAATACATTTGTGAACAAACAGCAGGATTTTTCAAGAGAGGTGTGTGAGGAGTCCAAGGGATGTGCTCAGATCCTTTYGTAATTCTGTGTCCAAACATTCAAACTTCCA